TCAACCTATCCTGGGCAGGGAACATGGGATGATGTGTTCTTTCTGCAGCTACTTCAAGCTGATGGGGGCGTTGTCATCAGGGCCCAAGGGTCGCCGAAGGTAAGGAGTGCCTTGGGGCACTCGTCAGAAGCATCTGGTTCTCAGACTCTGCTGAAGAGACAGGGAGCACTCACATCAGCTACCCTGGTCCACATCAGCTTTCAGCAAGGCCAGGGCTCGCAGTCATTTGGAGCAGGTTGTAGTCAGGACTGATGCTTAGATGTAGCTGCCAGCTAAGTGGAAACCTATTGAGATAAGTTTAAACTAGGAACAGATGTTAAAATTTATGTACTTAAGGAAAAATAATACATTTGAAACTTTTAAGCCCATATTGAAATCTGTATCAGAGATAAAAGCAGAGAATGGAAATCTGTAAACAGCAGGCATAGACTCATACCTTTGAGGCCTAGCAAAAACTACAAATTTTGGTTAGAAGCATGTATATTTTTCTGCTGTCCAGAGAGCCAGGTATGGATTGGACAGAGATGTCTCTGGCCTGATGAGAAACACCTTTAAGTTCATAGTTAAATGACAACCAGAATGAATCTAAAATCTTGAGCCTGAGATCCAGACAGTAAGTAGTCATTGCCCTATCAGCTTGTCAGAACCATACCATAGAAGGGGAAAGAAATCAGAAACATTTTCCATATCTTAACCTGTATTTACATCTCAAATCACTTTTTAGACCCTTCAAACATTTTTTTTTTAGTCAAGAGACCTAGTATCTTTTGACAAAGCAAGCTTTGATTTCTGTATCTATAAAATGAGCTAATGACCTGGCTATAGCTTTGTGGAAGGATCTGGATGCCTGCTGCTGCTAAACTGACAACATTACAGCTGGCCTAGCCATCAATACTATCAGAGATCCTAAAGGATAAATAAATTATACCTGAGTACAGAACAAGCAACTTCCAAATCTATTCAAAATAACAGGGACCAGAGTCTGTACGCAGTTAGCCATACCCAGGTCTCCATAGCACTGGAGGCAGAAGTATCCAGAACAGCAATCTTACAGTCTTAGCCAGGCCCATAAGGTGATCTGTGTTCCCTGTGGAAGAGGGAATGGAAAAGACTGACCTTGTTTTGTCTAGGCAAAGGTGATGCAGTCAGTTCTCCTGTCCTGCTGTCTGTGTGTCTACAGTCTGGCCTGGGTCTGGCACTGGTGTTGCACTGGAGCTTATGGCCCAGTGGTCGGCATCATCATAATCCAGGTGGAGACATCACGGTGTCCCATAATCTTTGGAGACCTTGGGTTACTGCTAGGATCTTGGAGTCTAATATAAGCTTTTTGATCATTATTTTAAATGCCATATTCTGAGAATCTCTGAAGTATGAGGGCTACTGAGGTATATCTGATTGGACAAACTTTGTTTCTAGTTACTTGATTGACTTTGAAAGCATATACAGGGAACTAAATAAGGCTTATCCCTGTCATTACTTATCCCTTATCAGTACTTTAAGGATGACTGACTAGCTGGTATTTCCTAAGTTAGCAGCTTTTATAAGACTAAAACTTTACATTCTGTCAGGTTTAGCCTTGAAAAATAATGATTTTGAGTTGAAGCTAATAAGGAGTCATTCTGAGGGTAAAAACAGAGCAAGTTTGTATTTATCTGTTAATACAAAGGCACAAAAAAAGGTCCCAGGACAAAATGGGAACGGGTGGGGGTGGGGGGAGCCTAGGGGCTAGCATTGCCCTTGACAAGTTCTAAGGCAGAGCAGCCACACAGCCACTGTTGGGGAAGAGCCACAAGTTCCCTTTGCCAGAGGTGAGAAAGGAGGAAGAACATTCTCCAAGCAACCTGAGGGACTGGGAGCTTTATCCAAATGCTTGGCCTTGGGAAAAGAACTTTGTAGTTTTATCTCAAGTGTGAGCCTTAGAAAACAACCATTTTTCAACTGATATTCCCTTTAGTATCAATACAAAAAAAAAAAAAACCCTATGACTCAGTTTATTTAAATAGCTTAAACACAACAAAGTTAGCAAAGACAAGGAGGCTAAACATACATTTTTAATCCTGAATAGACCTTGAGCAAGGAGATGCCTTTTTTAAGCCACTGATTTTCAACCTTTTAATGGTTTGACCTTTTAATATACTTTCCCATTGTTACGTTGCAACGGCAGTTTTGTCATTGCTATGAATCTTAATGCAAACATCTGACATGCAGGTGGTCCTAGGCTACCCCTGTAAAAAGGTTTTTTGTTTATTTTGTTTGTTTGTTTTTTAAACCACCAAAGGGTCAAGACTCAATGGCCTTAGAAATTATATCAAACCCTTTGCCAGACTGCTTAGGTCATTGTCTTATGCCTCTGACCTAATTTTTAGCCTTTTATTAAGTCCAAACATTAACAATATAAAACATTTTATAAGCACAAATGTCCCATGGTTTTAACTTAAATTTAAAAAATTAAAATCTCTTAAATGTCTTCCTGCAATATCAAAAATAAAGTACCTCTTTTGCTCCATCTTCGACGCCGTATACATAGTCTGTCTTTTAGATCTCCACCTACTCTATTTCAATGTAGCTGGTACTTCTGGTGCCTATCACCTGGAACTGGCATTTCTAAAACTGTTAATGTCCATTCATGCAACTGCTAATCCTGTCATGCATTTGTCAGCCTCAGCTGTTTCTTATGATCCCTTTATGTCTTGATAACCATTATCACCTGGATGACTCTTAAATTAACAAATTCTAGCTGGAAGAGCAAAGTACAATTTTTAGTATAAAATTTTCAATAAAGAACAGCATAAAATACTTTTAACATTATTTATACCAAAAAGTCATCTCAATTTCTGCTAACCCAAATCCAGTAACCAGAGCTCAGTGATAAATTCTGAGGTCAGGCCCATAAATGTGGCCACAGCAGTGATGGGTGGCAGAGACGACTAAAATATCTAAACCATTTCTGTCTCAGCTCCATGCTCGCAAGAAAACTTACATAGACAAACTTTTCAACAAAACAAGCATATTCGGCATTCGCAGGTATAGGAAACCACAACCAACATAGTTCACATCCCTGCTGACCTCCTATAACCTTTAAAACCTTCAGTCCATCTTTCCTCTCTTCATTCTTTCAGTCTCCTGCTTTCTCCCTTGCTTTGCAGACAACATACCCAAGTCTTTCTCACTTTTTACTAAAGTCTTTCTCACTTTTCAGACAACATAAAAACTCTTACCAAAGTCTTTTTTATGATTTTCCTCAGTAGTATATAATACAGTGTATGGCTACTAAAAACAAAAACATTTGTATACTGTAACAAAAAATAACTATAAATTTACATCACATAAAATCATGTACCACTGTGAAGCATTTGAGACTAACAATAGTTTTTTTTTTTTTTTGC